TCATGGTTTCCCTGATTTTTCAATCCAAAATCTAGCCTTCAGTATGTTTAAAACACGCTACAAGCTTTAAAATAGGATGTGCATTCACTACGCAGAGATATTCTTATACGTTAGGCGCTTGTTTGTCGGATTCTCTTTCGAAGCCCGTAACTTGGCGAATTAGCGTGCTATGGGAAAAAAATCGTATTTTCTCTTTCACACACCTACCACCAAACAGGTCCAATATGAACAAATTTTGAAACCTCACATTTTTTTCGATGTCCGATTCAAGTCCGATTCAAATGAAATATCCCAAATAGAGTTGTCCAAACTATTTTTAGGATTTATCTATCATCACGTTTGCCTCATTACATATTATTTATTTCGGAATCCTTTTTAGTTGGTAGTGTGTATACATATGTGTTGGTTCATTGAAAAGGTTCCTATCCTGATTCAACATTCATTGAAACGTAATAGAGCAGTTTTTTCATACTGAAGCTGTCACGAAAGCAGAATCTAAAGTATAGATACCGTTACCGGGTGTTTCAAATTCGGCTTTCATCATTGGTGTTTTGTAATTTAGAGTATTTTATATATTAAAACCGAATTTCCTCAAAACCATTTTTATTTTGACTCAGGATTTCAAAGCAAATCGCACATTAACATGTTCGTCTAACCATATTTGTATATTTTAACTTTTTTCCAATAGTGAGTGTCGAATTGGAAACACCCGATATGTTGATCCAATTTTCGAGAGTTTAAGGTTCAGGTTACAGCTGTGACTACATATGTTGCGGTTTATGTGTTCTCTACACTTCATCATGGTGCTGGAGCATGAAGGCTAACAGAAAATACCATAAAGCTGCTGTAATCCTTTGAACTCTGGTGCTTCCGATGCATGCTACAAATAACGCAACAAATGATACAGTAACGTAACGAGTAGCTAAAGCAAAGGTGGTGCTTGAGACGATTAAATGAAAGAAGATGTCTTACTTTGGTCATATTCTCGTACTTAGATGTGAAAAATATAAAATTCTGCAGTTAACAATGCAAGGCAAGATTCCGGGTAAACGGGATGCAGGACAAAGACGTCCTAGTGGATTGAAAATCTATCGCACTTCTGTAGACTGATTTTAATCTGTGCATATCCATTGAGGATTAAAAAACAAGAAGAAGGTTTATAGACCAAAGAACTACGGAGGGCTAGTTTTCAATGTAGATATTTCGACAGAGTTAGGATGAGAAGTAAAAACTTGGTGAAAGTCTGGAGTACTGCGGCATAATGAGCAGATTTCAGTGGAGCAAAATTCATTAGCATATCGCTAGAAGAGGGTCAGATCTGCATGAGGGAGTCGTGAATCTGACAGTTGAGGAAGTACTACCCGCGGTTGAACGACACAAGATATTTTTTAGAAGAGAAAGAGAATGGAGAAAATTAATGACCACCTCTTCGTAGCTGTTGAGTGATAGGTCATGTTGATGACTTGGTGATATGAACATAAGGCAAAATGAAATGGCATCTTGGTTGAGACCAGATATCCATCAAATCCAGATACTTGGTATAGTATGTGTTTGGCGGTGTGATTCTATAACCTTTCGGGAACTCTATTCCTGAACACCAGTAGAGGAGTCTCTCACCGGTCATTCTTGAGAAAATAAATGCGAAAAGTCTCGCCGCGGTCCACTCGGATCGTCTCTTAAGGTATGATGGAATGCTTAATGATATATCATATTATGGATTCACTTCTTCGATAGACGTTCAACAGGTGTCAGAATTTCTGCTCTATTGTGATCAAGATTTTCCTTCCAGGTGTTTCATCTGAATCTTGAATTCAAAGTGCATCTGCGTTATGTCATTAGTGTGTAACAGAAACTGATCCCTGGGGAACATCTGCGTTGACGTAGTGGGATAAAGAGCAGAACCTATCATTAACGATGGATATCTGAAGAAGGAGTTAGCCTTCGTCTGCAAATTATAGACAAAAGTCCTAGACAACGGAGAAATCACAAGGAGACCTTTCGGGAATTACGTGAGGTCTCCAGTGTAGTATGAGTAACTCTCCTAATGAAAAGAGTAATATCTGTCTGTTCATATTGCTCGAAAAGCAAGAATAGCCGGACTCGACATCTAAAAATAGAAGTCTTTAATGCAAGGTGATTTATAAAAGTTGGCGGTATGGTGGTGCAGTGTCCGTTTCTATATAATACTCGTGATTTACTGCCTCCTGTGATTTATTGAAGTGAAACACATTTCTCTACTGTTACCTGGCCCATTTTATTCCCAAGATTCATATACCTATAAAAAGCACAGGATGTTTTACATGAATTTTGCATTAGTAGGTATGATTTATCATCTGATGCTACACATGCGAAACATGGCTCCGCTTATTATTCAGACTTTTTAACCTCAGCTGATTCAACTTACTCGTTTTCTTTTAATTTGCGTTATCTAAAAATAATAGGCGCCAAAGGAGAACTGCATTAGTATAGCTGAGATAGCTTTTTACGATTAAATTCATCTTGTCTCTATGAATTCAGTTTTTTTTTTTAAATTAGGCAAATCCGTCAGTCTTCTTTTTCTTCTTTATTGACAGTGGAGGTGTCCCTCATAGATTCATTTTGGCTCCAGTACTGTTTCTGTGCTTTAAGTTCGATTCACAGCCTTGCAAATGACAGCACATTACATGCAGGCATTGAGAGTTTCATATCAGTTTCTAAAGCTGAGTTTGGCTAAAACCAAATCTGAGAGCCATGCCAATGACGTTATATTACATAAAAGTGTCAAAAAGTTGCAACCGACATAGCTTTTGGGGGGAGGTATTAGTTATAACCCCTTCAACCTGTTTTGATACTACAAATCCTCAACTGCAAAATGTATTGGTACAGACACTGCCAAAGATTATTCTTTATTTGGTATGTTTAAGATAAAAGCAATATCCGAATATTTACAAAAGCATGCCTTTAAATCAGTTCGTAAATAGTCAACCCGATGAAGGCTCGTAAACGCTAATATCGAAATCGTAGAGTTCTGGTCCAGGAACGATGTATGTTTTAGAACTGCAGAAATCAGAATCGAAAATAAATTGGAATTAAATGGGATCGTGAATAAATCGAAGGAGTCGGTTCCGAGACCGAAATCGAGATCATGTTCTCACAAGAGAACGATAAGGCACAGCTCTACTGTGCAGCAAACATCAATATTTGAAGCTGCGATGGACATAATGAGTGGATCTACTTTCGTGAGCTTTTCATATATCATGGGAGCTAGTGGCGTATATAGAACTTGGGGGGGTGTTGGGGGGGGGGGGTATATGTTTGGCAGAGGGTAAAACAAATATATGAAAACCAACATTCGAAATAGAATGAGGGAACCGCAACCGAAAATGGAAAAAATATAACCAATATACTTACAGGTAGGCAGGCGTAGGAGGTTAAAAGGCTTAATAGCGCTGCTCCTATGAAGATCCCAAAGAAAATTGGGAAAAGCCTCCTCTTGTAGACTGTTACGCAACTTCGACACCCTAGGAACATAGTAGCGGTCATATCGGCCAATTCTGGATGTACGAAGATCAACACGGCTAGGATGGGAAGCAAGCACATCGAGCGGAAGCATCACGGAGGAGAGCTCTGGGGAGCAAATCCCATTAGTGAAGCGGTGCCGAGACTGTCTGTTAGAGAAGAGTCATCGATCAGTCAGTCAGCCGCCCTCTGAACAGCATCGAGCATGGGGAGACAGCACCCAAAACATATGAGCAATACTCGCGGCTAGTTATATGGGCCTTGTATAAAGTGAGGAGGTCTGGTGGAGAAAAGTATTTCTTAGCTCTAAACAAATAGCTTAGCTTTTTCCCAGCCGAGACCCGATTAGCGCTAGGACGCATTTTGTTCGTCAAGGTACAGTTCTGTGTTTTTGAAGCATTAAACTGTACAATATTGTTGCGTCCCTAAGCAGTGAAAGCAGTGATAACCTCCAGGTCTCTCGTAAGAGATAAAGTCGCTGCTGGTCTTCTTTTTTTCAGCTCACCGACATTTAGAGTGCTGTCATCAGCAAAGCTGTGGTTTGCATCGATCATATGGAAAGGAGGTCGTTGATAAATAAGAGGCACAGTGTCGGAGCCAAGACCGATCCCTGAAGTACACCCCCGGTAATGTTGTGCGATGAAGGGGTGAAATCGTCAGTTATGACGGATACCTTGTTGCCAAAGAAAAGTTAGCCACCCATCTGCAAAGCTTCTCTGGGGGGCCGTAGGATGGAAGTTTGTATAAGAAGGCAGTATGCCCCAGCTGCTTGAACGCTCTCGTTGTACAAGAGCAACAGCGTGAGCCTCATCATAAGACTGGATGAGTTTACTCCACAATTGCGTGACGTAAGCTAGAAGGTCCTTTGTGGATCGCTAGTACCGGAAACCTGTCGCTAATCAAATCGTGACGTTCGAGGTTCACCAGAACCTCACTTATAACGGAAAGCAGAGCTATAGGCCTGTAGTTGTAAGGCTTGGTTTTGAATCTGACTTTGAGATGGATTAGATATGAGAAAATTTCCACTTTTCTTGGAAGGTGCCGGATTATATCTGGAGGTGACGCGAGAGAACTGGAGCAAACTCCACTGCACACCTCTTCAATACAACGGCAGGAATAAGGTTCGGACCCGAAGGGATAATTTATAACATCACAGCTTATGAGTGGTCACAATATCATCTGTTGAAATGCTCGAACGATCTCAGTATCTTAGTTTCATGTTGATGGTGGTACCTTATCCGTTGATACTCAGTAAGGAAGTTGAAGAAGGAACATGAGGTCAAAAACATGTTCCTAAGTTAGGGAAAAATTATGCCTTCATCTTGAAATTTTGATGAAAATAGATAAGCAAAAAACTATAGGGTTGTTAAGTTTCTCTCACTTTCGTGACTTTTATTTTGTTTGAATTACTATATAGTGAACATGTAAAAAGCTATTTGAACCTTCCAGACAGCGTCGCGAGGCATGTACATGGAATATTAATTTTCATGTATTTTTTTCAGAATTTCGAAGTGGCCACAACAGAATATATTGAAAAAAGTGCCTCTAAAAATCGGCAACCAAGAGTTTTTCCATGGACTGCACATGCTTTGCATTTTCACCTTGTAAATTTTTCTATTACTTTTGAAGCGGTGTGAAAAAATCTCGGACCCATTACAAAATAAACATTTATGTGTATCCCACCATACGTTGCTACATTCCTATTAAAACCAATTCAAAGATGTTTGAGTGGAGCACCTACGAAAAAATCATGCACATACTCGTAAACTGACACACATAATGTCCTCATTAATTTCCGATTAAATTCGATATCTAACCGCAGAGCTAGAAAAATTATAAAGATGAAAACTGCACAGTGCTTCTGAGCCCCAGCTACGATTAATTTTTTAGACTCAACACTTCAGTCGCACCCCATTTCGAACCGTCACAAATACTTTTCCATCATTTAAATGTTAAACTCCTCAATTCTTATTCATCCTAGACTTGAATTATGTTAATTAGCTAGTTGTTTGCAAATCTTGGAATAAATAAATAACCTATAAATATACGTTTTCACCATACCTATAGAAGATATAGCTAAGTCCGTGGTAATGGCAAGATAATATTTCACCTAAAACATCCCCACCGTTATATACGCTACTGATTGGAAGCAGCACAAAACCCTAATATAAAGATCTGATACCGCATATCAACTTCACCTTTTATACACCATCTTTCCACCAACCTTCAAAGGAGATCGTTTATAAGGGGAAGTTGATCCTTCGCGAGATCAGTTTACGAAATTGTTTGAAAGTTTTAAATAAACTTTCTGGGATCGATGCCGTGGCGTGAGACAGCGACACTCATCAATATCGATATGTCATCGTTGTCGAAGCAACGATGTGATGTCGACGCATAACAAATGGATTTTTTATACGGGGAAAATGACAGGTAAAGTAAATGACAAGCAAGAAAAATGAATCGGGCATTCCACCTCGACAGATGGGAGAGAGAAATTGAGGAAGGAATTTAAGAGGATTCATAAGCACTGCATGTGTTTGAGTTTGGGAGGATTGCAGTAATATGGTGATGATGGAATTTTTCCAAATTGTTTGCCCTCAAAAAATATACCGAGTGCGCCATCTTTTATGTCGGTATTGAAACATCGAATGACTTTGATATTTACCAACCGAGTGATTTGGTTATACGTGTTTCTGAAACGTCAATTTACTACAATTTTAGTCATGAATCGCTTTACACCGAATCGACGCGCCGAAATAGTCACAATGTACATTGAAAATCGTCGTTCAGTTGTGTTAACGCAACGTGCATATCGTCGAAAATATCGTGGCAAACGTGGCCGTTATTTCGTTTCGAATTTTCTTGAGTACGGGACACTGGGAGATCGACCAATGAATTGGTTGAAGCGGTCAGAGACAGCGTTCCTAGAACCCAAAAAGTGCATGGTTGATGCTGAACCTGATTCTTGGAAGCAAATTGTGATGACCGACGAGGCCCATTTCACGCTCTCTGGCGGCGTTAGTAAGCAAAACTGGTTTTTCAAGTTGTAACTAGTCCGGACCTGTATTGATTCAGTAGCATAACGGGTGGATAAAAAGTTGTCAGGTCATAAAGAAATAACCAAAATAGATAAAACTCTCCCTGTATTTCGGTTATAAGAGGATAAAAGATCCATCAACTATAGGTTTTTCATAATCAACTCAGCGGCCTCTATTCACAGCTAAAGTATCTCCCTCTACCACCCTATCTGATGTATAATGAATGTTGTGTATGTAAACACAGGGTGACCCTATTTCTGCCATAAAACCATGATTTCACCAGATGTGAGAAATACGAGTATTACCTTAATTCGCTGACATTGATAGACATACAATTTTTAGTCATATTCTTTCAGCAGACGAAGGGAATTTAAATGAGATTCATATACTTTTTGCTTGAAACATTATTGAAAACATGAAAAAAGAAACAGAATTTTACTTGGCAGGGGTGTGCATGTATTGGTTACATCTTTTGAAATAAAAATCGACAGAAAAACTTGAAATACGTTTAACTTTGAAAACAGGCTATAGCTAGTCAAGTTTGAAAACGAGTTTTGCACGAAGTGGTTTGTGACACAAACACTTGTCATAAACGATTCCTTCTCCATTCAGTATCTTGTTAATGTTAGGACAAATCTTTTTATGCTATTTTGGAGTGATCTTTCTGTACAGCATTGGCATTGTTCTTTGAGTTACCCTGTATGGATTCCCTTTAGTCTGACAAACAGAAAGAAACTTCACACCTGAGTGCGTCCCTGCCGATTGTTACTTAACCGAGAGCTCCTAGCGTATTCCTTGCCCGCACTGGCATTAATGCGAGTATAAATGTTTTTAGTGCTTCGTTATTTTGATATACTGTGCGGCTTATAATAATTTATTATGAAATTACCTCCCATTTAATTTCAAGTTCATCCCATTCCCACTAATTTATGTTCAGGTTTCATGCTCTTTAATGTTGGGCAGAGAAAGTGGGCGCCTCAAGCGAATAATTTTAATCAAATTTATGCGAAAAATATTAAGATCAAAGAGAACCTGGTATTATAAAACTAGGCCGTACGCACGCCTGATAAATTCTCATGTCTTGCTAGTACGCGCTTTACGCAACAACTGCACTCCACGATTTGTTGAGATCGTAAGTAAAGTGCATGGAACTGGAGTCGGGGATTTAGTGTGAGCTGTTAATGCACACATCAAAGTAGTGAGAGATTAACGAGCACTGACTTCTCGAATAAAAAAACGTCATGTAGGTTAACTGTACCTCCCGGGGAGTAGCACAAAAATTCAATATCTTATAAGACTGCGTGTCCCATATAATCATTTATTTCGTCTTTCTTGCCTTTAAAAATAAGAGGACTCTTCTGGATATGTATAAGTTCACTCTATCTGCTGCCAGTGCTGCAAGATGAAGAAGGGCCTCAAGTAGCTTGATCCTGCACTTCGTATGCAACGATATCATCAATTCATGAAGAATTAAATCCCCGCACAAGTTAGCCGCACTAAGAAAGGCTCATAGAATCAGTCCATAGTCCATCAGTATGAATTAGCCTACCACCCAACTGACAGTAGCGACCATCAAGCTACGTTGCGATCCAAAACGGGGTTATATACGCGACCATTTCCCACGTCTTAATTTCTACCAATCACAAACGCGGAATTTTGAATTAGAAATGGTTTCTAGATGGAAAAATTGTATGACAGCACCTTTTTCAGCAGCTTTTTCGAGTGTACCCGTGGCAAAACTTGACAGCTGTTGTTACCAAAAATTACAATACCTTTGATAACAAATGGTTATGGTCACCTGGGTCACCAGAATTAATACCTACATATTTATTATGTATGCATGTATAATAAATAGGCACTATGTTTTGTAAGCTATGTCTATGCAGAATAATCTGTTAACCATGAAATAGTATTGTCAGATACCATTCGGGCATCTAATCTTTTCGAAAAAATTGGATGCCCTTATGATATTACTTATGAATAAACGCCTGATCGACTCTTTGAGTTGTCCTGCATATCTTTAACATTAGTTTTTAAGGGCAAAAGGAAGTCCATGACGTATGAAATATGACCAATGGTTGCGTAGAAATATCGGTGTACGAAACGTATGATTTGCACTAAGAATTTAACATATACTATCCCTCCCCTACAACCCCAAATTTTGATGTTTAATCCCTTTAAAAATTATTCTGGAAATGATAAGCATCCTCTGAAAATGCTAAAAATGGTAGACACCACGTCTATAAAGCGGTAGATTCCAAACATAAACGGCAGATCCTGAAAGGTGACTATGAAAACCGTAGCAAAGGAGGGGAAGGTGAGAATTGCAGAGGGCGAGTGGGGGTGCAGAGAATGCGTCAGCTATAATCATACTTAATACATAAGGACAGATATCTTATATCTGGTAGCACGTTCCATGTTTGCTCGGTACCATCGGTAAGATATAGACCTTATCTTGGAAACAGGCAACGGAAAGCAAACAACCGGATCTGAAACTAAAAAACTCAGTATGTAGAGCGTGAGCTACCAGCAAATAGTTCGCCAACGTTGGCATGTCTGAGCCCATTCGCCGAAAATGCTTTCTAATAACCATTAATCAGAGATTTGATGTTAGTTTACGGTGATCGTAAACTAGATGATCTGCGAGTGCATTCACATCGTTTTCCTGGACGTTTCCATAGCGCGCTACGCAGATTTATTTATTTTGTAAAAAGGCCGTTTGTAAGACCGTCGAGGTAGGCAAAGTAGGAGACTTTAACTGCCCCGCATGTTGTAAATCGAGGAAGAAGTTAAAAAATTGTTTTTGAATTGAACGGCAATTTCCAGCATTATTTATAAACGATACGTGACAGGATGGTGCTTATAATTGCTTATCAAGAGTATAAATATAAAGTTCATGGTAATAGCGAGACCATTTACCAGAGACGGGGTAAGATTCTTTTCCGACATTTTGCCAACTTTCACCAAATTTACGATCTCATCTTTGCATTCTGCTGGCAATTGAAAATTGAAGAACACTAGGAGGGCGCCAATGTGCCTTATCAGTACTTATTATGTCGTTATCAAATTTCATCATTGGATTAGCCAAATTTTGCCAAATCAAAGGTTTCTACTTCTTACGCGAGGAAACATTGTAATCTCGGAAAATTTCTAAAACTTCACATCACGTTAATACTATGCCAAGAATAAAAAAGGTATGGAGTTTTTGAAAATCGGTCCAGTGGCTAACTAACGAAAAAATCGCAAAAGCTTGATTTTTTGATGTTTCAGAGGGTCCTGATCGTTTTGATAAAAGTTTTTGCAGGGGTTAGAAATTTGATTGCGGTAGTGGATGGAATGTGTAAATTTTTTGGTGCAAGCAATTTACACGTTTCCAACATTGGTAATTCTATGCACCTATTAGATATATTTTATACATCATGCCATTAAAACTTCAATGATAGAGATACACTTTCGACATTCGCGTGCCGGTCATCTCAACAAGCGTTCGTTTGTCTACTTCGAATGCGGATGAATAACTGAGCTACAATGCGTGCGTCCATACGCAACGACGTGGTGGGTTTGAGAGTGCCACGGCTGACGGGGGTGCCACATTGCTGTCTGGTCGATACTGTCGATAGGGCAATGACGTCAAATCTGTTAGGACTATGGACTAATTGGATGGGGCTGTTGGACTGAAATGATCCATTTAGTTCCTTTGTTATACATCTTCGCAGCCATGTTTTTTGTAAGAGGGCCTAGCTTGTACCAAACATAATCATTAATGATAGCGCTGCGTACAAATTGCAGAGTCAACCTACTTGACGCCATTTTTTTGGGGGTGTTCTTTTCATTTGTCTGTTACTTGCTATAACGCAACTTCACTATTCCAAACGCTGTTTCTCAAAAAGGAAGTTCAAACTTTAGAACATAGCTAAAATCGCACGTTCATATCAAATGAAA